GATCCACGACTCTTCGTCCTGCGATTGCCGGATCCGCTCGATCCGTAGCTCTCTCACGACTTCCTTTTGTAGGGAGTCTGGATCAGATCCAATACGCACTCCAGACCTAGCCTTAGATCGGGTTGTCACAGCTGATATCTGTGCGATCTCGTCTTCGACTTTCACTATCAGGATCTCATCCAACCGATTTAAAGCTATGAGATGCTGGATCTCCATGTCAGACTCTATCTCGATCCCACATTGCCGTTGTAGAGCGGTGCTTGCCAACTGTCAGCACTCCCGTTCCAATCTCGTTTGACGTGTAACAGCTCATGGTCTGGCCAAGTACGTAGTCGATCCAAAGCCCGCTGGCGTAACAGTTGCAGATCTGGTGCCTTACAATCGATCTCACTTCGTACTTGTCGGATCACTAGGTTCGAGACTCCGCAGATCACCAGACGTCGCGGATCCAGATTTTTCAACAGAGCTTGGATCTTGCGTCTTGGTTCCTTTTTTGGGGCAATAGAGATCAATGTTTTATCCATTTCGGATCTAGGGGTAATAGTGGCAGCCAATGATCCTAAGATATCGTCCTCTTCTTTAACCCACTTGGTGATCTCCAGAGTCCAGGGTGGCAACAGAGCAGCCCACTGTCCCAGACCTCCCTACAGGACCGTGGATCTGAAGAGCCACGCCAATGTTGAGTGTCGGGACAACACGTGGATCGGACGTCCGACCAGTGCATTGTAGTTAAGATCCAGGGTCCTCTGAAGGGCTAATACCCCCTTCTCCGCGATGCCATCGTTTAGCTCATTCGACTTCAGAGTGCGGCTTGCAAACATCACGGGATAGTAGATCTGGTCGTATTCCTGCATCAATGATCCCGAAATGGCCCAATCGCTAGCATATACCACAACCGTGGCCCTCCGATCTGGATCAAAGTGCCGTAGGATCAGAGTAGTAGCGATCTCGACTTTGAGTGCACTGAAGGATCGATGGGCATGGATCCAACGCGGATCCGCTTCGGTAGGATCTGGCGCCTCCAGATCCAAAGTCTTTCGGTGGTCGACCTCCTGACCTTCCTGTGATCCTCGATCCCCATTCTCCGCTTCCAGCACTTGTTGGATCCGCGCTTGGGTAGCCTCTTTCACCATCGCAGCAAAGTCGAT